CACCAAATAACACGCCGTGATATAATTTGCAGTATCACTTTCATGGGCGATACCTACGCCTTGGAAATATCAAACATTCTAGAGTCGATTGTTATGTCAGGAGTAGCAACTGCTAATTAACATGGATCAGACCAAACTTACACAACGGCACGCGAGCGATGGGTGCGGTCGGTCGTAAAAGAAGTCATAAATATTGCTACGTCCACACTAATTCAGAAAAATTTGAAAATGGATTTGGATTTGTGTTTGAGGAAAACTCAGGCAGGGAAATCGAAATTTTTCGAAGAGTTCCATTTTCAAAATGTTTTTCGTCCACACTAAAACGCAAAGCTCTCTGGCGTTTTCAAATTCCTCTGGTTTGAAGGGCGTTTGACGGTAGGCCTAACCATAGAAATAGAGCTGCGTTTTCTCCGGAGTAGTGTGGACGAAACCTAAAAGCAAGAAGTTAGAACTAAAAGAAATAACATCTGGACTCTTTAAAATAGCGGTTAAGGGTATTAAACTAGAAACAAAGGCGTCGTCACTTTATCTCCTATAGCTTATATCCTACCAAATCCTCTTTACAAATTCAGCGATACATTTGTTTACACCGAAGTGGACTATTAACTATAAGCAAGGAACCAAAGTAAGTTCTATCTTAGACCTGGCTAGATCCAATAGAGAGAATAAAAAAATCGTTAATTGACAGATAAATCCAAGACATCTTCATAGTGTTAGCCTTCTCGCAGACTAGCACAGAGCACTGCAGCTTTCTCTCATTTAGACATTTCCAAACATTGTAAATCAAAGTTCAACACATGTTTCAAATAAAGCTAGTCAGTGAAGCTACACCTAGTTTGTTATTCTCAATACAAGATCCAATTTTGTGAAAGCATTGTTCACTTCACATTCGCCACATCTCAAAAAGAAAGACATTGGAAATTCTCAAAATCAGCAAATGTCGAGAACGGAACAAACGCGCGCACTGGAAATTAAGGTGTAGTTTGTTCAGTTTTAATTAACATATTTTGCTCTCGACCATGGATATTTAAGACAAAATTTAAAAGTTAAAACTCACCGAATCATGGAGTCAGATTGATATTTCAAAATTTATCACGGTCAGTTATCACTGACTGTTTCTTTTTTTCAAAAGATATGACAATTAAGGACAACTTAAATCTCCCGAATTAATCTCAAAGTATGAAACGTCATTTTAAAGCACATTCCATAGGCTTGTGATGTATTTCATCTGATTGTAATGTAACCCGAAACTTAATTCTACGGAGTGTTCCAAATTTCTCCTGATAAGTAATTATATATCAGTCCTTTACCCTAATGGCTAAAAAACAGCTATGGACAGTATCTTATTATTTTTTTTATAATTTTCAATTGGTCTTTCCGTTCACCTGTTTTCACACGTTTAACCGTCAAAATTGAGCGGATAATACACAATCGTTTAACGAAGAAATTTAATCTGTGCGGCAATGAAAAAGGAGCAATTAAATTAAATAAGAGCAAGTGCATTTCCAATTTCTTGTTTTCGCCCTCGCCGGGAGCCTGTTTGAAGCTTCAAAGGTGAAACGGTTATAAAGCACCACAATATCGCAAACAGGGCAAAAATAGAAACATATTCACTGATAAAGAGTTTAAAAATATCGACATTGGTAATCATAGAATATCATGTTTAAATTCCCATGTCTGGCCTTTTTTGTCAAAAAAAACACACCCAATTGTGTGTCTATCAGTCTTAAAGAACCTCACTGAAAAAGGAAGGCTGAAAGATAACTTTTTTTTTTTTTATCAGAAATTGTATTTTCTTACGGAGGAAATTTTCAAACTTGGTTCGATTCAGGCGAAGGTCTATGGCATAATTAGGTAGACAATAATATATTTAGTCATACATTAGTCAGCCGATTAGAATACAAAGTCCGAATGTTAATTTATTCATTTCCCTTAGAATACACTAGATTGAAAAACAGTTTAAAGAACTCGTTGTGTGGCATTAAAAAGCTTAAACGCACCTGCTATCACAAGACTGTGACAAGAACCATTACAGGCAGAGAGTAAAAGACTCCGATTAATCCAGTTACCAACGAGCCAAAATTAGATTGACAAATATAAAAACAATCAACTTTACAACCACAACAGATTAAAGTTTAAAACATAAGCGGGAAGTCAGTTCCGACATTTAAAAAGGCCAATTTGTCATGTGTCGGAAACGCCTTGGCAGATAGACGAGCCGACGATGAAATTTTACAATTGTTTTACTTGAAGAAAAGAAGCTATCAAATTTGAGGTCGCAAAGATAACTCATGCGATTACACTCTTTTTTTTATAAGAATATTGTTTTTCCGGCCCAGGCTGAACATTCTTTTTTTTTCTGCCGATTTTAGGCAGAGAATATTTTTAGGCAGAAAATATTCTTGGGATGTTCTTAGATTATATAGCGTATGACATTTCTGTTTTCGAATGTATTTGGTGTCTGGATGGTGTTAAAGTGATTTTGGAGCCAGTCGGCTGCAGGCATTAAAGCCTGATGTGACGTACATAACTTCTTGCAGAAATGTGCTTGGGCTGTTTCTGTGGCCGTTTTTCGGCTAGTTTTGCCTTTTAGGGAAAGGAAGAATTTTATTGTATTTACAAACTTTCAACACAAAATTATATTCTTTCCAAAATCTCAGCCTCGGGTATATCCTTAAAATTTCGCAAATTTAATCCTCGATATTTTTTAAAACATATTCTTATAAAAAAGAAAGAGCGTAGCTGCTCTTGTGTCTTCAGATCGAAATATCAATTCCTCTTACTAATCGCTACAATTTTCTTTCATGTTAGTCAGGGGAATTGGCGTTAGATCACGACAAAAATTACTTAACTGATGATTTTCGTTATTCTCATCACCTGCCGTTTTGGTAATGAACTAATATGTTAAAGAGAAATCAAATGTTGATCAATCTTGGGAATTAAAGAATGGAACAATATTCCAGACTATCAACCGAAAGGTAATTAAAGACGCCGCAGTTAAGTTATGAAAAGCTATGGATCCCACAAATCGCTAAATTCTAATAAGATTTCCGGGTGTTTATACAAAAACACACGATAAGAAATGTAGAACGACAATAACTGAAAAGATAATCGTGTTGTGGTCTTTGCTGAAGTATAATAATCAATTTGTACTTAAAAAGTAGGAAAATTTCAGAGCCTTTTTTGGTGGGATTGTGTGCAGTTGATTTCTTCTGAACAATAAACAAGATTGTAAATAAGAGTGTTTATGACATCACGGCGTTAGGCAGGCACTCCTTTGGAGGAAATGGGGTTATGTGAAAAGCGCTTTCTGTCGCATTTTGGCGCGCCGCAGGCGTTAGCCATTTAAAGATTTTAGAGTGGTTAGCGTATGTCATGGCTGGGATTTGAAAAATCCCACCACGAACACCGTCAAAACACTTGAGGCCTGCTGAGTGTAGCATGAAAATCTCTTCAAACGGCGAGAATAATCTCACGAATTCTGTGAAAATCCTTCGCATGAATAAACAAGACACCTAAGTGACACTTAACAAATATATCAACAAGACGCTTTGCTTGTAGAATAAGCCCGTCTTTAGAAAAACACGGCGCACTCGCTTGAAAATCGAAGCAAACCGTTCTGGTTTTGATTACGACAAGAGAGCATCAGGGCGGGCAGAGGGTGTGACGCAGTCAAGGGCTAAGTGCTGTAACATAAAACGAGGATAACTTGAAGTGATTTTGTTCCGAAATTCCTTCCACGCCTGGAGATAAAATATCTGTTTTATTGAAGTGAATGGTTTACTCTCAGACAGGACACATCATTAGGACCACACAACAAAGGCACTACTCACTAAACGGCTACTAACTATCGTCTTAAATAACAATTTGACACCGCCAGACATAAGTGATTTAATCGCGCGCTGATTGGTCAATCGAGGTGTCACGTTACGCGAGCTGTAAAATCCTTTGAAAGGCCAATTTCCTGGTATGGGAAACGTAACAAGACACTGGAAAAGCCACACCGCTTGGCTAACACCGAACGTTCTGGGACAGAGCGCGGTTCATAAGGTTATCGCTGAACTATTATAAATGAAAAAGCAATTACGCTGATCAGTAAATTGAAGGCAGATTGGTCACAAGTTTGACAAGAGCCAGGCAAATTGAACAGGCGATCACCGTGCGCGCGTGTATAAAAGCGGTTGGCGAGAAGTGTGTACAGTTATTTTGCAGAACCATGGCGTATCAGCCTTTTGAAGCACCAGCACTAGAGTCGTACGCTCACTCTCCTGTAGGATCAGCCTGCAGTTCTAGTGGATCAGAAACAAGCTTGAGCCCAACACCATCGCCACAAGCCCTGTATTACCCTGCAGGGCGAAGAGTCACACTCTCTTATCAGAATCACTGTCAGTCGTATATGAAAAGACTCTACACAAACAGCAGAGAGAGATGGCGACAACAGCATGTTAACCTGGCGTTTGGCGAGCTTAGAAAACTTCTGCCTACTTATCCGCCCGAGAGGAAACTCTCAAAAAACGAGATCCTTAGACTAGCGATGAAGTACATCGGATTTCTGGACAATTTGCTCAAAGACATGGGCGATGAGACTGAGCCGCAGAACAAAGATTCACGCCACGATGCTTCCGATCCAAAGTTTAAGGAGGAAAAACATGAAATCGAAAAATTGCCCTGCGAAGGGCACACGAACTACTGCCGTTCATCAATGGACGAAATGGACACAAATAAACACGACTCAAGCACTGTGTCGATATTTGATTCGTCTTAGACTTGTGAGAAGATACCTAAATATATACCACGAACAGACATGTCACATTTCCCGTGTTAATATCGCGGTCTGATATTAAATGATATCAATATGATATCTCACGGAGTAGCAACGACATGCAATACTTTGACAAAACGAGATCAAGACATTTTGTAACTGAACTGGGACAGTAAATACTGTAGTTATTTCTATAATGCTGCTCTCTGTAATCGTGTTTACTGTTATGCTTAACTTGTGTAAATAGGTTTTCATTCATGCTGTGTTTTTTGCTGGTTTGTTTATTTAAGAACTAAAATGTCTCTCATGTGTAATAAGTAACGATGTTGAACCTTTTAAAAGTATTATGTTTATCTGTCCAAAGATTTGCCATCTAAAGACAGTGAACGGTGTAATTAATAAACACTTTCTCTGATCAAGATCTTGTCATTTTGTGTTATCACCAGCCTAAATTCCGTTCCTGTTTTAGTCATTTTTGTGATTTTGTGTAAATACAAACACAAAATCTGATCTAGCGGAGGTGTTAATCAAATTTTCACACGCAACGCGAAGGCGCGAGGATGTTACAACTACTGGATCAAACAAACAGGGCTGACACACAAACCGGGGGAAAATTCGAACCGCTATCACAAACAAAGAATTCTGTTTTGCCTATTTTCGTGCCGCTGGGAGATCGGCTACGATTGAAAACATCAACCTACTTCATTCAAGTGTAATGTTTCTGTCTAATTCGGAGATTGCAAAGCTGATAAACAGAGTAACATTAAATTAATGAGGGATCAAAGACGACATATCTGAGAGAGAAAAGATCACTTTGACAGGAAGGTCGCCAAAGCACGGCAATGCGTTGTAAAAACAGCACTAGGAATGATCGATATATGGGCTGTTTAGCTTAACTGTTGTAGATAAAACTCACAAATTTGCATCTAGATTGCCTCTTTACTTTCCCGGAAATTGTCCAACATTTTTTCATTTGCCCACACCTAATTTTTTTCCTACAAAACCTCCCCTACAGAGAATTTGAATTTATTAGTAAACTTTTCATCTTGTAAAATTGGATCACTTTGCAATTTAGCCTGTCTAAAATGTCTTTGTTTGTACATTCTCGTCTGGGTAAACATCACGAGATATTTGTACAACCAGGCTGTAAAAGACCGTATCGACTTTGGCTTGGAGTTGTAAAATTCTAGGAACTATATCTTTTGCAATCAGTCGTTTTCGATCAATTTAATAGGGTACAATAACTCGAACAAATAGATGTTACTTCTATTTTGAAAACTATGCAACTAAAAATAACCAAGTTGAAATATCCACAACAGAAAGTGATTTCAAAACAAACAGTCAACTTGTTGTATTTGTAAATCTTTGCGAATAAAAAGGAAGGCTCTAGGAAGGAAACCAGCAGGATTTGACAAATGAAACTTTACGACGCGAAAGAAAAAACCTTCAGCTATCATCCTTAAAGGAAACGGAAATGGTTGCGATTAACCTTTGGGGTAGTGTTAAATTCCCACTAATAACTTTACAATAACAAACGACTGGAATTTGAAAACCTTTCTGAATGTCTAATACAAACAAACAAGAGTGAATTATTATCACATGTGAGATGTACGAGCCGCCGGAGGCGAATTAGTGCGTGCTTGAATTTGACTCGTGTGCCAAATGAAGAGGATAGTGTTGACAACAAAGTAAAATGTTGATAAATGAAGAGCACTGCTTGCCATTAACAGCTGGGAATGATTTTAAGAGCAAACTTGAGTAAAATATTCCAATCCTCCAAAAAAAAAAGCCACAACAACAACAAAATGCGCTCAAAATTGAGAAAATCTACCTCTTGCGAATGTTTAACTTTTCATCATCCGTTAACTAAAAGATACCACTGAAGATTCTTACGGGATGAAAAATCTTCGCAAAACCGTGAGAAAAGATTACCACGATAGACTCGTTCACTTTTAGGTCACACAGCGTAGGTTACAAGAGCATTAAGAACCTCATCCTTCTCTTTAAAACAAAGATCTGAATTTTGAAGTACATTTACTCATAGATGTAAGATGAATTTTCAGCTATTTTCCCAAAGTTCAACCCTAAATCAGCTCTGATTCACCTTACGGAAACGTTATATTTCTATCAATGATAGTTTGGTGAACCAAAACAATACGAGTTTTCCTACATGTGTTTTTGTCACCATCCAATGGCAACTAAAGTAATCCACCGCTTTTCCGTGGAAACAAAAATGTAGAGACAAGTTTTACACAGCACAAAACTGGAAAGATATTCTAAATGAAGTACACAGTCAAGTCAGGAGTCTTCAAAACTAGCTAAAACTTGAGAAATCTTTTAAAGCCTCAATTTAAAAAGTTTATGGACATTATATATTTTAAGGCAGACAGGGTGGAACTTTGAAGTAATTTGCCGATTTTTTCATCTCAGAGTTTACCCGGCTCTTATAATGCGCACTCATTTCCTAAGAATAACAAACACAAGAAAGTTTTTTTGTTTAACAAAAGGCTTATACTTTGCACACAATAACCACCCGACAAAAGAAAATAACATTTGCCCCACTCACGTAGTTAAAATAAAAGATAAGCAACGGAAATTACTGCTATTATAAAGGATTAAAAGATGCGAACCGTTTTTGAGCGCGGCCGAACAGAACAGACAACTAAAACAGCTGCTTTAGAGTCGCTTTTGCTTACTTCATTGTTTCTCTGAACACATAACTGACCATAAGTGAAAGAAACTTTGACAGTTTTATCGTCTGTTTTACGACCACACGTTTTGCATGTCTGGAGAATATGGAAAAGACATTGTTAGGAAATTTACTCAGTCGATAAAACACAAGACTGACCAGTTGTAAATTATTTGGCAAGCGCACACAAGTGTGTTTTTGTTTGATCAACTAACACTTCTTTTTGAGCACGCGACTAATTTGGTATTTTTGTATTCATTGGCCCTTTATTCAACTCTGTTTCCTTTGTAATTTTGGAAACAATTGTTTCAGGTCTAGACATTTATTCTCTGCTACTTCCCTCGGTAAAATGATCGAGTTCCTTTCATCGTCAGCCAAAAAGGAAGTTACCCACGCGAAATGTGTTATCTCTTGTTGTCTACAAAATTGGAACGATAGAAGTTAATATGCCTCTTATTTCATCAGGTCGTTTGGGTTCAAGGGCAGAATGTGCGGAAACTACAGTGGAAATTGTGACAAAGAATAAATGTTGCCAAACCACGCGCCGACAACTTACCGAATACTAAAGAAACTCCGGGCACGAAATTGCGCCGCGCGGCGCGTGTCACGCGAGTGCGTCTCTTGCCAAACACGTGACCGCGCGCAACTACAAGAACCAGAGAAGTTACTCAAGTATTATTTTTAGCCGGGGGGGGGGGGACGGGAGTAAACACACCGGGAAGGGGTAGCTTTCTCAGACTGTAGGCAGATACAAGTCAGGGATTTAACAAGTGGAAGCGTAAAAAAAGGTTATGAAAAACTGTCATTTTGGCATCTTAAACAGGCCGTTCAAAATATCGCGAACAAGCGCACGCACCTTACGGCTGAGGAGTCATTGAACCAATACAAGTCATGTAAGGGTCACTCGAACGAAAATAAAGTTTGGAGAGGGGATACGATATTTCTACTTTAAATATATGGGGAGTATTATTTCCTATGGGAGTGTATGAAAGGTTTATTTTCCTTTCAAAAATCGTATGTAAAAGTGAAAGAGTTTAGACTTCGTAGCGGCAGAGCCTTCTGGCATAAAACTTTGTGAAGTAACCATCCCCCCACCCCTCGTCCCGGGGGCAATTTCAACTGCTGTATTCAAGTAATCATTGAGTAGCAAAAGAAAAAAACACCATTTGCTCAAATTTGAGTGATTACCAACACAGTTCTTTCACACCACGTTATTTGGAATAATCGTAACAGTAAGCATACGGAGTCCGTCAGGGGGACCCAACGACCGTTTCCTTTTAAACGCTGTTTTAGGCTATCTGGAGTACTTTTAAAGCTCTGTAGGTTAATTTTAGGTTGCGCTAAAAAATTTATCTGTTCGGTTATTCTAGGGGAACTTAAGTATTCTCGAATTTATCAGGGCTTTTTGTCCATTTCCCGAAAACCTTAGGTATTATCGCCTTTCCGAAAATGATAGCCGACCTTTTTTCGGTACCCAAAACGACATTTTTAACAATCCGAAAACAACAGACATTAAATTTCTCATCTCAGGAAAGTTCGAGGTGACAATTCTCTTCAGAAAATCAGAGGGGATTAAAGGCCTTCCGAACAGATAATTTACCGAAACGATTCGTTG